CCCAAAGAATGTCAAGTAAACTAAAATGACAAACTACGTATAATTTACAAGAAAAATGGATTTTATGATACACGTGTGTGAAAAGCTATACGTTATAGCACAAAATAGTATTGTCAATGTTATAGATAATCACGGGTTACTTGGAGGTTATCTCTTCGGTATTGTCCACCACAATTTTAGGATACTCCAGAGATCAGAAGGCGATATTTAATGTCTCTCCGCTGTGGTCGTCGGTCGGCTTGATTGTCGTAATAATATGAGAAGTCCTGTAAATTCCCAAGACAATCAGTTATTATGCACTACAGGCAATAGTCACGGAGACAGAAGTCGGAATGGTTCGAAACACATTATATTTCCAAGATCAGCAGCAGCAGCAAAAGATGCAATAACCGCCACAACCAAAAAAGTGTATATATAAACAACATTCGTTTTTACAAGCATTAGTAAGAATGTACAGAATGTGTAAAAGAAACGATGAAAAGGAAATATTGCTTATAGTTGAAGTGGTTTATACACAATTGTATGCAGTCTCTACAGGATAGATGAAATCTGAATGACGTTGTTTAATTCCTTCATTGGTATTTAGACAATTTCAGTTCCATTTTGTGAGAAGAAATTTTATGGTAGCATATTCCCTTCGAACTCGTTTCCGAAGAAAATGGGATTAATCCTATCAGTTGTGTTTTCAATTTACGTTTCCAAGCCTGCCTCAACTTAAGTTGCTCAGTGGTACAGTTTTCGAATAATATAAGTGCCAATATACGACTTGACTCGAATTCCTCTAAAATTCCACATACATCTTGCTGGTGATGATTATCAAAAATTACAAAACCTCAAACTTTCCGCTAGATGCTTCTAAAAATATAGTTTTTATGATTTAGTTTGCACAAGATGTGTATGTCAGTGAAACAACTTTATCGAAATTACTCATTCAACTAGAAACTCGACTTTTGACATGGCGATGAGAAATTTACGATTATTAACTTCTGTTAGTATAGAGATAGATACAAGCGGATATCGCAGTCATTCCACACGATTAAGACGCTAATGTACTGCAGCTGTCACTTAATTTCAATAAGACCGGGAAATGATTTTTGTCTTTCGTGCAAAAACTTGAAATAAAAACAAAATTTTATTTTCAATTGAATTGATAAAGTGGGTAAGTACTAAAAGGACAAGTGGTGAAAAGATCAACGCATTGAGTTCCAATGTTTATGTGTCATTATGGGAAACGATGTATTTAACAAAGACATTGTGGAAGATATGTCGTAAGGACGAAGTGGTCACAGAAATAGGGAAAATGGCATAAATATAAGATATCCTAACGGATATTTCACAAATACATAATAACAAAATCAGGGAATTCAAGCATAATTACAACAACTGGAAAGACACTGTATGTGGTTAATGATACGTAGCGACGAAAGGCAGCCAATAGGGGAGTTGTTTTCAAGTCATGATCAGATCATGTTCAGGTCGTGATTTATGCATGCGATGACATGAGAATCTGATTGGAGAAGTTCGACATCATACAAGAAATCCGATTGGTTCATTTACGGCTTCACTTTCTGAAAGTTTTGTTAACACATATATGTCATGTATTTGCCTAGTAAAAGTTGTCGCTGTTCTTTCAGTCACAGACTGTCTTTGTCTTCTGATTTTTGGCGGCTCAGTGAAGCAAAAGGTACTGAGGGAGGTCAGTCTTATGGGTACTCGGTTGAGGTTTCTATTGAGTCTCAGTATTCATCATACCCAAGCGAGCAACCCTACCACTCGGTCACAACAGTTAAGTATATACAGTGATTTCCAAAGTGAACATTACGTTGCTGCAAAACTAAATAAAAGTTATGCAGGTGTCAAAAGTTGAGTTTTTAATCTGTCCACATTAATTACCCATTACGAACAATAAGAATTCTTTACAAAGATGGAAAACGTACTCTGAAGTGATTGATTAATGGGAAGACAGATGACAAGCACATAGATACATCTGAGACAAACCATATACTGTAGCTGCGGTTACTTCATTTACAACTTCCCTGACTGATCATCATAACAAAGTGTCTAATTTTGTTTTCTCCAACCGAATACAGTGGTTTTAACCAAACATATGAATTCTAGACTGTTTCTTACTGAAAAGATAAATCTTTCTTGGTTATGTGAGATTTATCGTCAGTGCGATTCCACTCCAACTTTCTACTATAATTACGGTTCAACTTCTCTTGAATTATCATGTAAGAATAGTAGTGAGTGACTTACAAACAATGTTTATTTCATTTGTTTCCTCTCGTATAATATTTACCAATTTTTAAAATTTCTTAGTCCTACTCCACTGACTTCCGAACTTCACATCATTTCATTTTCAATTAAATTCCATTTAGCCTTATATTAAAGCATTTACCAGTCATAGCTGAAGTTTTTTCAGGTTCCATTATCTCTACTGGATACTTTGTGAGTTGAATGGAAAGCCTACCATGTCCACTTCACGTAAAGTATGCCTCTTGTTTATAGTGCCACTGTACAGGTTATTCTGTAGTAGCACTTGAGTTGAGAATCGTGATGCTGTGCTGTGCACTACCTTTGAAAGTGGATAACACGTTGTGATATTATAATATGTGACGTTGAGAGGAATACGTATCAGAAGCATATATGCCAATGCCTTCAGAGTAAGTCACAACAGTGGATATTTGACTGCCAAGATAAACGTGGTCGATTGGTGATGTAAATAGAAAACTAAAGAATGAATAGGCAAAAGTTGAAGGAGAATACAAACAATCGCTGCATCAAAAGAATTCACTATAAGGTTGTAATATTTATCAGTGTCGTGTGACACTTCCTGGACAAAACTCTCGTTGGAGTATTCTACAATCTGACTTATTGTTATGTTCAGTTTTACAAATGAATTTCACCGTACACTGTACACTTTTCTAGAATACTGTAAATATTCGCAGCCTTTTGCACGAACAGATTCTGATGACTTGATAATGCTTCAATTGTATTAATTCTAAGATAAACCATCTGCAAGATTTTCAAGTTGTCGAAATTCGTGTATGGGTGCATGTATATTTTTAAACTATGTGATTCACTGTAGCCTAAAATAGAGCTCTTAATAACTAGTACTATATGTAGTATATTTTGATAATATATTTAAAGGTTATGTAACTTAGATAATCGTTAATTCTTCGTTCTATAGTATAATGAATTTATTTAACTTTGAACTGATCATTAGGTAATGCTTCATTCATATGCACTAACTGTAGTTAACTGAATTAAATATTCGGCATTTAATGAGCGGTTGAGGCGATTTTAAATTCTCTTCTGCTGACATCGCAGTGACCAGTTACTAATAAGTATGATTAGGCTTGGCATACAAACACCTATAAGCGGTTAAGAATTTGTCTATACGTTATTCCGCTTTCGAGGAGCAATCTATTTCATTGAAGTACTGAATGATGTACACTAAAACATCAGAGTATACGTTTTTCGGATTTCACAGATACTCTTTTCGATGAGTGAAAAAAAAAACTATAAAAACTCGATGTGTAGCTTGTTGATTGACTCAGTACGACTAACAGAGTTTTAACCTTAATGAAATGTTGATTACATTCTCAATGATGATAAACAAAATAACATAAAAGGAAAGCTTAAAGCTTTGCAGTGCTGTTAAACCGAAAACATGACAGTTTATTGTAAGTTGATTCAGTTTAAGAAAGCGCTTATAACTGAGTTGCAGAAATTTCTAATGGTCAAAAGAACAAGGATTTAATTTGGTGGTTTGTGAGGATTTAATTGCATTCAAGTTGGTAACCATCATGGACTGACATCAGTTTGAGAACCACTGGGAGTATCTAACAGTTGTTTCGTCGTAGCATGGGGCTCTGCTGTAGTACGTACTCACGACCTTGCCAGGAGTCAAACTCAAAACCTTCAGGTTCCGTGGCTAGTACGTTACCACTGGATTGAGTCACTGGGGTGGTTCGCAGTTTGCAACTTCTCTCAATTCGTGACTTGCTTTGAGTTGAAGTTTCCCGAAGTTCTAAAGAGAAGTTATGACCGGTGGAGCGAACGTGAAAGAAAACAGGCACTCAACTCTGGCAATGGTTGGTCACAATAGATCGCGAACTGACAGAAGTAAGAAAGTGTGGACCCAGTGGTTCGATGGTAATGTACTGGTTGCGAAACCTGAAGGTTCTGGACTCTAGTTCCAGGGGGGGGGGCATAAGTGAGCGCTCTGAGGAGTCCCGTACTATAACGAAACTCCTGCCCAATGCTCCGAGGTATTCAGTGGTCCTACAACTGATGTCAGTCCATGATTATTGCAATGTTGAGAGAACAAGGATTACTTTATATTCATACTGTAGTGCTCAACAGTCGAAAATACTCCAAATTTAGGAAGCAAACTGTGCTTATTTTCAGCTTTATAGATATACATCACATTCACTTGATTTGTACGCTAACCATTCAATGACTCAATCAGTTACTTTCTACTCACTGATCATTTCACTACACAACTAACAAGGGAAAAAAGGTTATTCAGCTGAAAACTGAAAAATAAGATCTACTCGCTTTTTGCTTGCTGCTTTATGACCTAAGTTTTAAGCTGTGCACTCTGAAACCTATAGGTCTTTACCTAAAATTCAATATCATGAACTTAATATCTTAAAACTCGGAAGATCTCCTTTCTTATTAATTCTGTAAGGATTCATATAAATAACTTAGTGGTGATACGGGACCACTTGAAGGTTTATTTTGTTCATATCAAGTGGTTTAATGTTTTAGAGTCGCATGGATGAATATCCTAATCATACTTACTTTAACTTTAAGCAGAAAAAAGCGGTCGGAAACCTAAGTAAGTTCCTTAACATCTTTAAAAAGTCGTATATGCTGTAATTTTTTTTGCATTTCTATACTAAAAACTGGAAAGAAGCAACCATTTCCTTATTGGTGCGTTCAAGGTCATTCAGTAGTCGCCCAAGGACAACACATTGAAATGAAAACGCGGTCAGAATTTGGTTAAAAATTTGTTTTGAAATTATACACTATAAATCTTGAAATATGCATCTATCTTTACAATAGAAATCATCAAATATTTTATCATTTCAATTCCTATACGTATTATAGTATAAAAAAGAAAGAGTATAGATCTACAGAATACTGCAATTGATATTTAAAAATAAAAGATACTCTTGGAATAGGCAAACTGTTTAGTGTACAGTTTTACACAACCATTTTCAGTGAGATATTTGCTGTTTCTTCCTTCTATTTTCTTTAGAATCAACTTCACACTGGATACTTTTGAATACGATCTAAATTATCCTCACATTCACAGACTTTATCAATAAAGTAATTTCTATTCCGTATAATTTGTAATAGATCTGCTTGTACATAGTAAATATTCTCCCATTTCATAGCATCATTCATGCCTAAACTATGTGTTGTTTCATTCTCTTCAAGATATTGTAAATCGATCACATTTGAACCATCCTCTTCAAAACGTATATTATCATCGAACAGAATATGTTGTACAGTTGTATCGTTTGGATTAAACCATAATGGTTTTGATGATGTATAGTGATAGTTATGCTCTCGCCAATACGGGAAATCATCAATAACACTGACAGCCCCACGTTGTTGAGACCATATATTGTAAATTTCTTTTGGATTATGTGATACTTCAATGTTTTGTTTTACTCCTCCATCTACTCCTTGTTGTTCAATGTCTTCTTTGTACAATTGAAACATTGGTTGTGTTTCAGATCGTTTTAAATACCATTTTGTAAAATCGATTGGTAGTAATTGTTTAGCATTGATTGGTGCTTTCTCTTGTGGATGTTCACCATTGATATAAGCTTCAATAGCTGATAGAATGTGTTCACCATCTTTACCATATGTACGTATAAATATGGCGAATTGACGATTCGAATCTATAAGCCATGTTAGTAAACGATAGAACGCTGGCATTAAGTAATGATAATTATTGCTATTAGTATTCATGTTATTACCATGACCATCACACCTACTGTCATCATCATTATCATCATTCTTTCCATTTTTAACACGTAAACAATATGGTGTTGAAATAGCTTCTTCAGGTGTAAGTTTCAACATTTCCAAATGTTCAGTGAATAAATTTAAAAACGGTATACCTTCAGGTGTTTGTGTAAAATTACCAAAATATTTTCGTAATCGACCTCTATCAGAGGATGTTTTCACAATTTGTCGCTCTAATAATTTATAAATACTTATAGCATCTGGTTGAGGTTGCCGAATACATGGTGATTCTGGTAAACAATTCCAACAGGCTAGTGTTGACTTGAAATAATCTAGTTCTGTTTGAGTGAGATTTTCAAAATTTTCACCAGCATAAGGTTGACGATAACCGTCTAGTTGTGTGGCAGGATTTTTCACTGGAATTTCTTCGATATTTTTCTTGGCTTTATTTGTTGTTTGACTGAAATATGGTTTACTTTCAGCGGCAATATCTGTTAGTATAATTTGAAATATGAAAAACAAACACGTTAATGTTCCTTAACAACTGGTTCTGATTAATGAAAGCTGCTTATGAGGATGTATGCGTAGTATACAGTACAATATCAAGGTCTCAAGAAGTGATAACAGTCAACTGATAAGGATTTGGAAGCAAAGAAGATCCCATATCATGAAAGAATATGACACACTGAAACACAGAACAATGCTATTGTTTGCGAATTGTTACTTCATTGTTGAGTTTATTTACTTTTATCACTACTGGATGGCTGGGTGACGTTTTTTTCAATCGACACTGAGTGATACATGATTGAATGCTATCAAATTCACATCTTGGCACAGTTGCCTGGTGGATAACGCTTTGATGTGATAGGTGTGCAGTTCAAGTCTCAATGGGAACAACATCACTCATTGAAATACACGCACTTCCAGCTGATGAGTCTCAAATAGCACAAAAGGTGCGTCTTGGATTCCACTCTTATCCACAACCAAGTCAATAATAACTATCTTTGTTGTCATTCCAGTTAAATCAATTTCTAAAGAATGAACAATAACTAGGATGTAAACCAGTTTAGTACTTGTCAGATCTACGCTTAGTATACATGTTATAACGACAAACTGATAAGCCTGCTTTTACATTATTGGTAATGATGAATTTAAACACATAACTTTAACATAATATGCCAGACTATTTGAATATAGTCGCACCTGGCCAAGCTTTTTCCAACGCTTTTAAGTCATCAGGTGAAGTAAAGACAACAAGGCGAAACATTCCCTTCTCTTAGATCTATAACTAAGGTCTTCGTATTCTTGTAGTCTTACGATAACTAACAAAGTGGAGTGTTAATCTATTGTGTGAACGAAAAGCTGACTGGATTACAGAGTGAATACTCACTTTTTTTGAACGTATTATCACTTTTTCTTTTTAGATATTTACCGTCATTGTTTTATTCAGTGATGATTGACACTTAAACTATGATCGGGTTCTGACAGACTAAGATCATTTGATCATTTTCAAAAGTTTTCAAGTGTTTTCCAGAAATTGATATGAATGTACTCATAAGAAGTCATCTAGAAATTTAAGCCATTTGGTGTAAGATGCTAAGAGTTGATTGGCTGGAATATTCAAACTTGATTTTCATACTTGTTACTACTTCTCTGGAACATTTATACATTTCCTAGTAGAATGTAATATAACTCAATGTGCTACAATTTTATTTACAACATTATTAACCAAACTCATTGTGTAAGTAATTATGATACTACCTGGTTGGAAGACAATGGGCTGGACACTGTGTCAAACAGTTTGATTCGTCTCCAACTACTATTCCATAACCCAGTATGCAGTTGGATTCTGAATGGAAAAGTAAGACAAATGCTCCAGTACTTTTAGAATTTAGTAAGGCTGTGACAAAATAACGAAGGGTAGTGGGCTAAGTTGAGCAACTACCGCCAGATGTATTTCAGGACAGTGTTCGAAGATTGTTGGTTAGCAAGCGTATAGGAAGTAAATGTGATTCCTTCTGATTAGTCACGATCACTGATAGTCATAGTCTTCATGAAAGGCAAGAAATCCCCGTTCTTAACCACAGGAGATCAGTCCGCGGAACATATTGTCTAAGATCCTAGGCTCTACAAACATTTGACGCCTAAGTGGAGCTCGGAGACAACGAACCCGAAGAAAGCAAGTAGTTTTCAGATCCAGTCATGGGTGTATTGATCAGGTCTTGGAACACAGCCTTATTTATTGGTACCCAACGCTAGTTGTACCTTTCTATATTAGAGAAGCACTTGACTTCATCAATCGAGAGGTCTTATGGAACTGTCTCCAAATGAGAGAGGTTCCGGACAAGTACATCATTCGCTTGTAGGCTCGGTATTCGAAAACCCATGGACGTGTTAGAGCCTATATTAGCTTATTACAAGTGAATTAAGTTTGTCAAGTGGTGCGCATAAAGGATTTCCAGGCTCTCCCTTCTTGTTTAGTTTCGTCATAGGAGTATTCCGTCACGTCATCTGACTTTATGGTAATTAAAAGTGGAGGATATAACAAGGCTTCAAGTTTTTGACCACCGTCACCCTCACAGAATAAACCGTGTGTCATGGTGCCACGACGTGAGTAAAGTACAAGCCAGACGTAGAATCAGTAATACAGACGATGGGGCTGAAAACCTATACTGACACATGTGGGCGAGACAAGTAAGACTGGTAAAAACAATCAACATAAAACCCTCTAGAGAAATGTATCGCTTCGAGTTGCCATATTTCGAAAAGGTACAGAAAGAAGTGAACAGTTGGATGAATGGCATTACTAACTTGGTAACTTAATCTTTCAATGGAATCCTATTTAAACGTATAATGCTTATCCATGAAAATGGCGTATGCCACTGATTTCTCAGAAACTTAAGTCGAATGGTAGCCAGCATACACCTCAGTTACAACATGCCTAAGTATACCAGTTGAGTATGAAACGTGTTCATTAAGCGGAGTAATTTGGCGTAGAATTCACTTTCCTCATGTTGGGTGTTTGGAATCATTTCACTGGAAGGCCTAGTACTTATCATTAAGTTTTATTACCCCAACACTGAAGTAACTCATTCCTCCTCTTAGATTCAAAGCTGCGCCACCTTTAAGCTCACACATCAATATAAACAACATTTTAACTTCTTCATCAAACCAACAAATAAGTTGAAAACCTAGACAAAATTAATCTAACCACGTTTTTGAAAAATTAAAAGAATGTATCATTTGCATAGATTAATTGCGAACTTAGTAAGCAAAGGTTTGCTTGGAAATATTTACTATTAAACTTCGTCAGGTTTGAGTCATCAAACTTGAAAGTGAAGGTAAAACATTCACCAATTATTTAGTAAAGATTTTAAAATGACATTTTTTATGTTCAGAGGTGATATATTCTACAGAATTTTGACAAAAGGTTAGAATTGTAATGGTAAGTAGACAGGTTTAAACTACACCTTTACTCTGACTCATTTTGTCATGCAAAGTCAACTATGAGAGTGAGTAACAACATAATCACTTGTATACTATGAACTGATTGAAATAAAATTACAGAAATGATGATCATGCCTAATTTTGTGTTATAATAAATATTGGATATGCCTTACAAGTTAGGCTTACAGTTCATTTTGTCTGGAAGGCAAATTTAGGTCTTGTCATGTGCTTGTATACATGCTTCATGACATTCTCGTTGATTATATATTCATGATCTACGCTGCAATGACTAATATTACAACAATTTCTAGTTTTTTTTTGTTAGTGCTTATGTAAACACTGACTAACATTCACATGACTAAGGTGTTTGGATTAGTATAGAATAGCTACTTTTTATGTGATTATGATGATCAATAGTCCTACTTTTAATATAAGTAGGTATAAGAATCAGGTATGACTTGAAAGACCGCCCTAACAACTGCTGAGATAACCGATTACCCTTCTCCATTTCACGAATAACTATCATCTCAGACGAAATACAGAAAGCTAATTGGTTATTTCACCAGTCACTAGCGTGGCCTTTAAACTGGCTCGAGAATGAGTGGCTCTAAGTTCCATCTAGCAACCTCTGGAACAATCAATTAGGTGTCGTTATTTTATCTGGAAAAGCAAGCTATTTACATTGAGTGAAGGGAAGTAATTGGTTATTTCACTAGTCACTAGAGTCAAATTTAAAGGCATTTTGGGGGATTTTAGTCCTGATTAATAAGATTTATGACTTTCAATCGCAAAACAAAATCAGTCTATGTTACAGAAATAATACATTAATCTTTAAAAGAACTGTTTACTGAATAAATATGATGGATGATAATCGGGGCTCACTGTCCTATGTGTTTATAAAGCGAGTAACTCTAAAGATCACCATAACAATAACTGAAATCACCAATTAGACTACTTTATTTCATGAAACTCCACCTTTCCAACAGAAATCAAAAGTTGGTTGACCATTTTAGATGTTGCTAGGAGGGCCCTTAGAGTCACTCGTAGTGAGTATTCTCATTTGCTTTCGTAAATTTAATAGTGATTTCAAACTTTCTTGTACCTATGTAATATGTTGGTGAGCTGCAATAGTGTTGATACGATGTTATCGTTGCTCTAGTTATTTGAGACGTTTAAATTTTTGATTGTCCACATTGTTGTAGGTGATGTCCTCTTGAGATAGGTAACCAGAGGAGGAAAACTGTGATCAAGCCATTCATAAAGAGTAGGAATAAGACATCTGAACATAGCTAAAGCATTATTCATTCGAAATTTCAAACTATCATTGTGAGTTCAAAAGATATGAATACAACCTCTTTCCTTCCTATAATCATTTTTGAGTACTGATCTTTCTAAGCAGTCCTCCCGATGATGTAATTATATTTTGTGTTGTTTAGGTCATTTTCTTATTCTAAATCACCATCTGTATATTGTAAAACTTCTCTCTTATTACTTAGTGTATTTTGATCCATTGACAGGAAATTATTCAGAATATTCTATCTCTTCCACTAGTTAAGAGCATCAGTTCATCGAAAAGAAAAACTTTTTTTCTCTACAGTTGGCTTTTCATCTTGAATCCCAGAGTATGGGCTGATTATTATTGGTTTGCTGAGGTTGGATGAATAGTTACAAACCTGAGTAATAACCATTTGAAACAAGGTACATGACGTTCCTGGAAATGTAGCTTATATCCGTTCGCAACGAAAAACCATAGAGGGAAGTAAACTGTTCCTATTTTTGAAATAGATATTAGGAGTCAATCGGCTGGAAGCCTTAGGTCTAGGTTTCATCACCATGGCCTGATCTGTAATCGTAGGCGAACTTGTGTTCTGTCGGTGGTTTGGACCTTAATCACTCAGTGTGGAGTAAAAGAATTAGCCTTGCTGATGAGTGCCATCAAACACAAACCTATATTTTACTGCCAACTGTCCCTAAGCAATTATTATCTACAAAAACGTACCATGATGTTGACTCTCTTAGCTAGACGGTCGTAATGCAAAATGATCGATAGAATCCGATCAGTACCACGAATTAGACAACATGAAATTGCTTACTTTTCAGTGACTAATCAATGTATCTAGTTCAGGAGGTCAATCGCTCAGTGGTAACATCTCTGGCTTCAACACTAGTTGACCTGGGTTCGAATATCATTGGGGACCTTCTCAGTTTTGTTGAAGGTGAAGATGGACCTCACTGACGAGTGTCAACAAAGTTTTCGCTGATTGTCTCCAACCATCTAACTAAGTCATCAAGTTATTCATACCACGACTTCCCACCAGTAGAACTGGACCACATATATGAAATGGTCACCAGAGGGTAGTCGATATGGCTGCCCAGCCTTTAGTACCTGGTACTGGTAAAAGTTTGCCAATGAAGTTTTGCGTTATGGCCACTAACCTAGAATGCTCATACTGCATAAGATACTATTCTAGTAGCAAGCACTACATATGATAAGGCTGGTCGCTGAAATAAACGCTTCAATGCCATCATATCTAAGTACAGTCAGTCAGTAACCACATTTCAGTCTTAGACTCTTAGTAAAGTCCAGACACTCATAATAGAGGTTAATGACAGACTTTTATGGCGTGAAACTGGCTTTTATCTCAGCTACAACTAATGTTAGACAAACTTCAGTTTGCCTTTCAAAGTAATCCTGTTAGCAGAAAAATATTCAATAAAGGCTAAAATGGTTATCATTCTAAGTATTAAGATTTTCTAACTCTAAACTGGAGTATGAGATGGCTGTAATGTTTGCAAACACTGACTAAACAACTGAAACATCACTGCTTTAAGAATAATGTATAAGTACATATATATAAGTACTGAAACGGCTTCCTTATGAGACTGTGTTACTGTGCAAGACAAAACATTTGAAGTGAGTGAGTGAGTGAGTGAGTGAGTGAGTGAGTGAGTGAGTGAGTGAGTGAGTGAGTGAGTGAGTGAGTGAGTGAGTGAGTGAGTGAGTGAGTGAGTGAGTGAGTGAGTGAGTGAGTGAGTGAGTGAGTGAGTGAGTGAGTGAGTGAGTGAGTGAGTGAGTGAGTGAGTGAGTGAGTGAGTGAGTGAGTGAGTGAGTGAGTGAGTGAGTGAGTGAGTGAGTGAGTGAGTGAGTGGGAGTGTACACGTATGCATCGGTACTTGCACCAACGCCTAGACTGTATAATAATCTTTTAAGTAAGATAAATCCCTCGTAGATTAAGTACTGACTAAAAAACCATTGTACTGTTTATGTGCAGAAAAATTCTCATCTATTTCTACATATGCGTACATATCAAAAGTGTATCCATAAGAAGCACAGATAATAAACAACCACTGGACATGATAGTTATATTTCTGTGTGATTGTCTGACATTTTATTTGTTTGTTTGTCTGATCACAGCCCACCAATAGAAGATATCTATCTTCACACAATAATAACAATATTTTACAGTTTATGAAGTACAGAACTAAACTCAGGAAAGAAATAAAGAGTTGTCCTTGTTCTTGTCCTTAAAATTTTGATGTCTCGTGTCTTTCTCTCTCTGCTAAGTGACACCTTTTCTTGCTATCCAATCGATAAGTGTACTAGGTGGTTATAGCCATAAGGCCATTTGCATGAGAAAACCAAAACGATACACACACAATACAGTTTGTCTATCCATATAACAGCCTAATCTACTTTTGGCTGGAAGATCAAATCAGAGATGGAAATTAGCAAATACGTGTCCATTTGTGTCCTTGTTCGTGAACCAAACTTATCGTGTAACAGTCACCCGGACCTTCGTACTCCAACGAAGGTTCGTGTTCATTCTGAATTGAAAGTCTATATATATATATATATATATATATATATATATATATATAAGATGAATGAGGGTTTCAATTTTGAGGAAGTACTCATTACGGACCGACATCATCTCAAAAATGCATTACTGTACAGTTCTAATTAGTAAAATGCTTCCAGATGAATATCACGAAGTTCTAATGAAAAGCCGTGACCTGTCACATCAATCAGTAGGAACGGAAGACGATGTCATCTGAACACCTGGGATGATAGTCACGCTATATCAAGAATTAAAAGAAGTTGTAAACTGAACCATCAACCACTCACTCACTCACTCACTCACCTAGTGGCTGCATGGTTAACGCGTTCACCGTGAAACCTGAAGGTGAGTAGTTCGATTCCTAGTTGGGTCGTGTGTGCGTACTGCTGAGGAGTCCCATACTAGGATGAGACAACTGTCCGATGCTACCAGTTTTTCAGTGGTTCTTTAACTGATTCTAGATCGTGGTGAATATATAATTCGGCCTAGATAACTCAATTGCATCATCATATAGTGTCATGCAATAAGCGTACCCCAAAGCATACAACCTGTATACAGATGAGTTGTATTGCATTATTGTGTTTCATGACACTGATAAAAACCTACTATGAACAAGAAAACCGCATATATACTTACCATGCTTTTTGATTGTGTCATTGATAACTTGATTTCTTACTAATTTGCCATTTGTCTCAACATCAGTATTCATTAGATAGTCAGATACAGAGTCTAATGGTGTTGAAGATGATGAAGATGAAGAGGGGGAAGGAGATGGAAGTATTGGCTCCATTTGTAAATTTGAAACTGTCTCCACTGGTGCATGACTGTGGCTTTCTGTAGATTCAGTTTTCAGCTGACCTGTAAAAGTATACAAAATAGCATTCATAAAATGATGTAACGGTGAAGATAAGTTCATTACAGCCATGCTAACTAAATAGTCATAGCCAACCAATTTTAATAACCACTTATTGGGTAACAGTGATTACCTTGAGAAGTTAGGGCAATGGAAATGCTACAGCACACGTTGCATTGTATAAATCGTCGTAGATAACGCTTTGAGATAATTTGGATATGCTAGCAACTAGGTTTCGAGCTTGCTGGCATTCAACAGCACAGCGTATCTGCCATCTCAAGGGAACTGATGTCCCCTGTGAGACTAGAACCCAATCTTATAGTCAGTGACGTTGCTTCTGAGTTATCTGGCCCTTGATTTACTTGCAGTAGGACCCGACTAGAAACATTCATCGTTCAGTGGAGAGAAACTAATTTCATGCTCTCCAACTCTAAGTGCTGACTGAATGTGTATGAGAATTTTCGGAAATGCAAAACATCAACAGTTTAATTGTGAACTTAACAAAGAAGTGAAATAATTATTCATTTAGATAGTGAGACCTGTATCTTAAAAAATCACCGATAAATATATTTTCCCTTAAAGCAGCAGATGAACGCCATACTAGTTATCTGAGACCGAGTTGAAAATTTGTCAGTAAATATTTAGTGTGAGTGAAATCTAAGCCGATAACCCATAGATCACTGGTTGTAATGCCAGTGTAACTTGTATTCTTTTTTCAATTTCAGTCTGTCCTGAATAGCACGCTTTAATTTTCTAACTACAATTGTCTCACTTGGGCAATCAAGTTACATCTAAAAAAACAAAAACTTATATGTAAAGCAATAAAAGGAAGGGTTTTCCTTGAGTGATACTCCAGCCGACCTCAGCAAAACACTTATCTTATCTACTCATATAAAAAGTATGGATTTGTCGATGAAATTGTATTGTGATCAATAAGTGCGGGTGGCAGACATTTCAACGTCATTCTAGTTACTAATCTCAGTAGGAATTAACAACAGATGATGACATGAGGCTAACTAGTATTCTGTTGTTCTTAACACTCATGAAAAGTCCACAGTTTCTACTTTTAAAGCTTTAATGAAGATAGCTAAGTTAATATCAAAAGTTATTAGAAGAAAATTTTCGTTTCGATAAATGATTTAGAAAAAATTGTACACCGTTATCACAGTTACAACAAAATACTGATCCATCTGTAACCAATAGGTTAATAAAAAGTCATCAAAAACGGTCAACAAAATCATAAGGTGATAACAGCCAGAAGATTAAATCAAGGTCATCAAAAATTACTTATAGAATTATCGTAAATAAACAAAGAAATGAATAAACTATGTTAGAGGGATTACACAGAGATTGAATGTATCTCTTTTGAACACGAAGATCAAAATAACTGCTAGTTAAGTTCATTCAATTACCAGTCATTTAAACTGACTGATAGAATTCCTGCTGCTATCACCCACCGCTAAGCTTAAAGGATATTCAGTATTTCTGGTGTAACCAGTATAAAATTGAAGGAGTTATGTTTTATTTGCAGCTCTTTGTGTAAACTCCGTATCAACAGTTTATAATAACCTCAGTATACTCCACTATACTGTAGAGGTAAATTGATCACTTCCCATAAAATTACAGGGTGATGTCACAGAATTTGAAGCGATTGTTATTAAGATCCAATTTCACTAACGACACAGTCAGAAAGTTCTAAGTAACAGTAGGTCTTACAGATTAAGCCTAATGATAGACAGACAGAAAAAATAAACCAACTTAGATTTCGGCTTAGAAGTGCATCGACTCACGTTGTCAAACCTCAAAGCAGCATGCAAAAAGGAAGTGATATTATGGTAGAAAAAAAAGGTGCAAGACGAGAAACAATAAACAGGTGAAATATCAATAAAGGTGACAAAAAGTGATTACATCTGCGTCATTGTGACCGATTTCTAGCCGTCATTAAGATTCTCTAACCACTGATTACGGACTATATATTGAACACACTGCTGTTAACAGTATTTCATATATAATAACAAATTTTTTTTGAGTCAAACATGGTTAAGGTGACAGGGAATAACAGAAAGATTTCGATTGGTTTTTTGAAAAGATTTGTGAGTAAAGAAGCAAACTTTAACAACTTTGAAAAAAAAAAGATATAAAAGGTATATATGGAAGTGTGTGCGTTCGTTAACCAGTCAATAAGCTATACATATTGTTTGACGGTTGTTCATGATACTTGGCTGCCTAAATCTCATAAGGTGGAGCATGTTTCTAATCCATGAGCAACTTGTTGAAAGTTGAATGTCCAGGCCAGACAGCTACAGCTCAGTGCACTCACCAGGGGAAAAACTGTGTTGTATTTAATTAGTAAACATTCAAAAACAAATTTTGATAAGTTCATTTCTGACACCTTCCTCGCACATGATACGAGCCGAATACGCTACTGTAGAGTCTTTATATTCAATAGTACGTGCATAAAGTCTTACATACTTCCTCTTGCTCTTTCCTGAGGACCGATACGTAGAAAGCTTTGAGTGAAGAGGATGGTGGTTATCTGATAAAATAACTCTTGCAAAGAGTTTACATCAGCTAGGATGTTTGTTCGCAACAATTTCATTTGGAAGGTATAGAAGTACATCATTAGTTCTGCTGACAATCTTCAAATTTCTATGCAATGCAGCATAGTTATTTTTAAGCAACCCAAGAAAGAATAAAGGGGAACAGTAGAGGAGAATAGGCAAGATACAGGCGCTTATGAAAAAACAGGACAAGAAGCTGTTATACCAGATACTCTCAGCTTCCTAACATAGAAACTTAGGTGGAAGATTATTTTGGAAACTAGTTAAGTATGGGAGAACCAAGAAAGGTGTGAAGAAAAACATACGCCGAGATAAATCACATTTGTGACCTTCTCTAATACTCTAATACTGTAATAGTAGAGTTTATGGTAAACAACATTTCGCACAAAGGTATAACCATTAATCTTGACAGGCATGCGTACTGGATGTTCGAATGTCAAACTAGTTATCTCAATCATGAATTCAGAAAGGAAGATGATCTTTTGATCATGAATCTTCTTTCTCTCTATATATACATACTTTATGTTAAAATAAGTAAATAATTAACTATGAGGCAGTATTCATCACGGACTGATATTAGTTGGAGAACCACTGGAAACCTGGAAGAACTGGCCAGCTGTTTCATTCTAGTACTCACCTCAAAATATATGAATGTATAGTGGCTCACTAGTGACATGCTTCCAGATGGACATCACGAAGTTCTAATGAAAAGCCGTGACCTGTCACATCAATCAGTAGGAACGGAAGACGATGTCATCTGAACACCTGGGATGGTAGTCACGCTATATCAAGAATTAAAAGAAGTTATAAACTGAACCATCAACCACTCACTCACTCACTCACTCACTCACCTAGTGGCTGCATGGTTAACGCGTTCACCGTGAAACCTAAAGGTGAGTATTTCGATCCCTAGTTGGGTCGTGTGTGCGTACTGCTGAGGAGTCCCATACTAGGATGAGACAACTGTCCGATGCTACCAGTTTTCCAGTGGTTCTTCAACTGATTCCAGTCCGTGGTGAATACTATTTGAAAATTAAAATCTACCATTCACCTCAAAATAATTAATTAAACATGTGGTGTAGTATACCGATAACGTCTAGTCAAAAGTGTATTTTTTGTTAATTGACCCAGTAAGATATATTGATAAGTTATGAAAGTGTATTCTTTATATTAATTTCTAAACAACGGATAAACTAGATTGTCGAGAATCGCTAAGTTTACAGTTGTTTTATACACCGTCTTTTCACCTATAAAGTGTGCGTAACGTCATAATATTTGTGGTAAATTCAATCTCCAATACATACAGGTGAATTGAACATGTATCCGCTTTATGCTTACTTGTCATGTATGCTGTGAAAATTTGCTTATTGAAGTAGTTTTTATCTTTTTTTTTCCTACTTTTTCATTAGAAAAAAATTGAATGAAACTATGACTAAGTATATACCTGTTTTAAGAACTCGAATCGATTTTTGTTGACTACCGAAATTAACCTAATGTGAGTCATTTGACATAATCTCCAATTTGAGTAAGCACACCCATATATTGTCTTGTCAACGGTAACGTCAAAGAAAGTTTAAAATGACAAAGAATCATAGTAAATATTCACATTGAAGAATGTATGAATTTCTATCTCCAGCACCTGAAAGCGATGAAACGTGAAAGTCAATCAGTAATACTTCAGTGAATTAGGTAGCATGGTCTTAACTGGTCATTCATTTTATATAATCAGCTGTATTTTTGAACATATAAACACCATAACCAAAAATTGTATGATCAAGCAACCATTTTATAGACATTTAGTAGTGTCTAGGATGGAGATGAAGAACGTCTATTTCGTCCATCTTAGGACTCATCAGCTAAATTTATTTGTAGACCTGTAATGGTTAGTCTTTCTTCTCAGATGTACACCGTGTCAAACTCGTATTGTATGACGGTTTATGATAACATTCCATCCTTCACCCAGGGTGAAGCAAATACAGCCAGGATTTGAACTCAGGACCTATTAGTTAACGGTCAAGTACTCAAAGCGGAGTGTTTACTAAAACTAGATAAAATGAAGCTAAGATCGGTTGGTTCAGCTGTATAACTTTCAACCAGTGAATAGCGAGTTAGAACCCTACTCGGTCTACCGTTTACCTGGCAGTCAGATAGTAAACAGATCTGACTAACTCATAAACTATTAAATGAGTTGAACACCTTAAAGTGGCTAGTTATTAGTAAGTGAGAGTTTAAATGAGTTTGTGTTAACAATTTCACTGAGTGTACGTACACTACTAGGACCTGAAATGCAAATGGTATTTTTATTCTATGTATGAGATGAATCATCATTCAGTTTCTGTTGGTTCTTTGTTTATTCGCTTTCCTGTTTACATTTTATGCTTTTTCGTATTACTTCAGAACCCCTAAAAATCGAATATCAACTTTAATTGCTTTTCTATTCTCTT